GCTATACGGGGGGGTATTTGTCTTGGTGATCAATGTATTGTATTGCAGCACTTGCCCCTACAGTCTATACGGCCACACTGGGGCCCTTTGCCTTTGTGTGCGCTATGTGTATCAAGTACAGTACTTGTGTACAGACATCCACTGAATAATGATTAATCAGAGTAGTACGTTGTGATGGAAGTATATTCTCATTCATTCGATTCGCCTAAGAGATGCATACGAACATCATTTACCTCAATAATATATTTGATTATCGCACCGTGAGCGTATCCATATAAATGTTAACTCTCTCGCTTGGTATACAGACGCCTGCTGTACGTGTGTAGTTTGCATGTCTCTCTCACCGTGGTCGCGTGGATTTTTCTCTGGGTCCTCCGCTTCCCCCCACCACCACCACACACATTTAGAAAAATGCGTTTAGATTATTTGACTCCCGTAAATTTCCGCGCGTTAAGCCACTTCGTTGACCTATCATTCGTGGCCAGGTTGCTTCTTTGTCGCTCACCGCCTTCCTTAACCCGTGCTGGCCAGCGTGGTGAAGTATGGTCAAATCACCACCTCCCCACGACGACCCGCACGGCGTGGGGAGGTGACCATCCAGCAGTGGATAGGCGGTGGTTTTACTGTGGGTTGACGGTTGACGGCACTCAATGGGGCCCCGTCTTCACTTTCAGCACCACGGACAGCGACCTGTACGAAGTCTGACTCGCTGACTGACAGAGAGAGAGAGTGCTGTGTGTCTCAACTTAAGACCGGTCTCTCGCCTAGATCGATTCGGCCTAAAATGAGCACGTGGTGCCGCGTATTAGTAACAGTGAACGGCACCTGTGGCATGAGACGAAGAGGCGTAAAGCGTGTGCTGTGCCCAACTTAATAGGTGCTCGCTAAACCTACATCCGTCTCTTGAAGAAAGACTGCTTGCTTATATATATTTTCAAACATCTGCTGATTCATGACAAGTTAGACCGACACTGCTGATGACAACAATGAATGTAGAAACCGGTCCGGAGTAGTTTGCTTGCACTGCATCAATGCTGGTTGAAGTCACGCACTCCCAGAAGGGGCCGGTGCGTTGCGTTAGGAATACTTTGAAAAATGTGGAGAGCCGGATATGTGAAGAAACATTGCTTATCTATTTCTGTCCATACAGAGGGTGGCTAAGTGAGTCTCTTGTGTACTGCGTAGGCGTGCGTTAGATTGTTTTTTATCTATAAATATATAAAATGGCAAAATAACAGCGTGCACTATTTTAATAAGTTCATGATTTACAAATGTTAAATACTGTATTGTCATTCTTGATTTGAAGCTTTCGTGACTGCAGGAATCCATACTCTTTGGTTATTTCGGTAAAGTCACGTGGGTAGAAATAAAATAAAACAAATCACGACGTTTCGATCGCAACACAAGCGGTCGTGATTTATTTTATTGTATTACTAACTACGTGACTTTACCGAAAGAACCAAAGAGTATGTATTGTCATTGTGCACGTGGAATCGTATGCAGTACCGTACTGTAAGCAGTACTAGTGGGATTGCCACCAACGAATTGCAGTACAAAGAGTAATAGCTCACGATACCATTCGAGGGGAGAGCCTCATGTCAGAGAGCTACCGGACATCTGTAAAAAAAGAAGAGCTTTATAGCTCATCGGATTTCTCCAGTATAAATATTCAGATTGTGAGGCGCATAGTCTTGAGCACTGTATACTGCGCAACTGATCAAAACTTGGACTTTTAATGTACCCGGAAAGACTTAAAAACGTTTTTCCAGGACGGTAATAAGAGAGCCATCCTGGGAAACCAACAGGGGTGGACAACCCGAGCTATTACAGTGCAAGTATATCGTGTCACGTTCTGGGCGTATCTACAGCTGGGTCGACCAAGAATATATTTTTTGCATCCGGCTCACCACATCCAGTATACCCGTGGCTGTGGCTACTAGTCACGTACAACCAGTCTTCCAACCAAACGATAATATATTCATAGATCCATAATATAGTTTTTTTTAAAGATTAGATCGCATAAACCCAATGCAGTAAATTTACGCGATCTAACCCCCCCAAAAAAACTCAATTATGGATGATATTTGTCGCGAAAGCTTCAGTGTTAAATTCACAGATTAAACTCCGGTTTCGGGAAGGCGTGTGTTTTTCACGTGTTCCGTCGGCTCGGCCTGTAACGAATCGGTGATTTTGCCGCGATTCAGGGTCTCGATGCGAATAAAATAATAATGTAAAAAACTTGTTTTTTAAACACGCTTTAATGAAATGTACCGTGCTAGTAATGGCAGAACTCCACGACTCCAGGAAGTGGCCCCGAAGCTTGCCACAACGTAAGGAACCGTGGTGATCTACAGCCAACGTCAGTTGAGCGTGGACAATAGACCCACGCCGAAACATAACATATAAAAAAGATTGTTTAAAATATATATATTTTTTACGATAGAATATAGTAATTCTCATCAGTATGACATAAGTATACCAAGTTTGCAGTCGATACCACATTGGGAAGTGGATTAGAAATTGAGTTACAAGATTTGAGGATACAACGACAACAGAGTGAGTGAATAGAAAACGTGTAAAAAAAAGTCACAACTTTCTAAACAATGTACTTGTACCTGCATCGTTGCGAATTTAGCGGTCTCCAGTGGCTGAATGGGTCGCGTTCAACGCAAAGCATCGTTCAAGAATCTACTGCATCGATTCGCACGCAACGGTTTTAGATTCACGTCTCGTTGAGCCTTGAGAATCGATGAATGCATGGATCACCGTGCCCCCAATGTATTCAGTATTTGCTATTGTATGTACTGAATCAGTCCTTCCACGAGTCGCTGAAATGTTATGTTTCAGGTAGCGATTCTGAATCAATGGCGATGTGATTCGTATAGTCTGCATTGGCGTTCACAGAATCCACGGTGGAACCGTATGAATCTGTAAACATGTACACACGTGTACTCCGGACACACGTGTAATCTTGACACGGCGTACCAGCGTCCACTTGTCGAGCGTGTGTGTCTTGTCTATTGCACACGCGTAGTTGGCGAACACTGTGTCTCGTGTACCCACGTGGACCATGTGTCGCATGTAACACGTGTGTGTGTATGGGGAGCGGGTAGTGTGATCGGTTAGCGCGTTGCGCTACGAACCAGGTGGCCCGAGTTCGATTCCCGCTCACGGCCACCAATACCAAGCGACGATTATCTGAACCGGTCATGTCCCTCCCCTAGATCGACTCGGCCTCAAATGAGTACCTGGTGCGATTTATAAACATCGTCACTCGGGAGACAAAGGCGGCCGGACGTGGTGCTGGTCACCCGCCCCCTCGTGTGCCGTGCCGGCCTTCATAGGTGCTACTCGCTAAACAGCACTTGCCCCAACAGTCTGTTAAGGCTACACGGGGGATCTTTGGCGTGTCACGCGCAGCGCTGTGTGCTATACGCTACATAGACAATCCGACTTGGGAAGTTTCTCTAATCGGTTTATACAAAGTTCACAGATTACAAGGGGCCCCCCTGAGCTGCCCTTGCCTTAGTGACAAAACCCCCATCCTGCAAGCCACTGCTACAACAACACCACCAGCATCTTCTTCAGCAGCCACAATATAACCCTTGGATGAAGGGCTGTCCGCGCCGCGTCGGTCATGGCAGTTGTTTTGACCATACTTCACCACGCTGGTCAGTGCGGGTTGGTGAGTCGGGTGGTTTTGACTCTGATGTTAGCCGTGGACGGGGATTTAAATGATCTCTGGTCGCCCGGTTCGCGGCACAGTGCACGCACATCGCTTTCACCCCCTCTATGCCGAGTCGGTGTTATTAAACTCCACGTGTCCGTGACGGGACCCGGTATATCCTAAACCGCAGTCTCGTCGGACGGTGCCGATTTTTCGACAGCGTGCAGGGACGATGGCTCAGTTTAACGCGTAGGTTAGATCGCGTAAATATATAAATGTGTCGTTAAACCCGCCACCACCCGACACAGCCAACTAGCAAGGTTTGTCACGTAAACGACGGCTCAGTTTACTCGCACTCGATGGCTTGACCTTTGACTTGCGCCACAAGCCAAAGGTCACACAGAGCACAGGGATCAATGCTTATCCACTCGGTTGGCACCGAGACAATTTTTGTTGTTGAAATTCCACATTCCTATGGCAAAGACTACCGGTCTGTTCCGAGCACAAGCACAATCCAGCAGGAATCATGATTGCGGATTATGAATGATGGTGCTGATGATCATATTAATTAATGATAATGGAGAATACGATGATTCGATGATGATGACAATGGTGACGATTACGACTCCCTAACGATGATAATTATGTTTGTCCGTACGGATTGACAACCACGATCGATGATTCGCTTGATGATGCTAATTACTGACGACGGTGATGCCGTTGAATTATCGTCACCATTCACTGCTGCTGCTGACGATGCTGCTGCAGATGATGGTGATTGTCGTCCGCGACGACTACGATCATCCTCTGGCTGACGCAGTCCGCCACACACAGTCACGGCACGTGACGAGCACTGATCACGACAGCCATCAACCTGGGATTCATTTCCCAGGTTATATCTTCCGGGGCAACCCCCCCCCCTCCCGAGAGTTGATGGGGGGGGGTGAGATATTTTCCGGAGCTCAGCCCTGGAGACAGCTCGAGCTGGAGTGAAGTGTTGTGATCACTGATTCCTGCAGACCCCCCCCGCCCATCCTTAATCAGACTCCATGAGTCTCGAAGGCGGTCGGGTCTCATCTTCCCTTCTCGCAGCGCCTCCCTCAATCCTCTCCCTGAAATCCAGGCCCACGTGACATCACCACCAGCATCACTTGTGACGCAACCCTCCATCTGCCCCCACCCCAACTCCCTTCTCTCCCCGTCCGTCCCTCTCTCTTCTCTCAATCCCCTGCCTCTCTGCCTCTCTTGTCTCTCCCTCTGCTCTCCCTCTCTCTCCCCTCTCCCGGTCTCTCCCTCCCACTTCTCTCCCCCCCTCTCTCTCTCTGTCTTTCAGGCCCCGTTGAATCACAGGAATGTAACTCAGCCACCATGATGGAAGGTATGTTGCTCTACGGCACAGCAGCCGCCGCTCGCACAGGGGGAAGACTCGTTCTAGAATAATCAGCCTCGACTATCACCACCACCACACCCGTTTCGTGCCGTGATGATGTTGCCATGACCCAGCTGCACTCATTCAAATCACCCTGGGAGCATCTCGTCTTCACACAGACACGCGTATACAATGTTCGCACGCGTCCTCCTCCCCCCCCCCAACACACACAAACACATTAATTGACGATGTGTAACAGCATCGCGCGTGTACCCTGCCGGCCTTCATGGGTGCTCGCGAACGTCACTTGGCTCGGCAGGCTTAGCAACGCAACGCGGGAGGGGGTCCTTGTGCTTGTACGTGCCGTGCTTTCTGGTGGCAGCGATGGCTGTTTAATCTAGCACGGTGATGTGGTCGAGAGATGATTTAGAGGTGCGTGTATTTTTTTTATTTTCCGCTCAGCCCGCGCGGTTGCAGATGGTGAACGATGGGAGAATGAGTGGACCATTTAGTGTGTGTGTGTGTGTTGGTGCATCTGTGTGTGTGTGTTGGTGTGTGTCTATGTTGGTGTGTGTGTTAGTGTGTGTGTGTTGTGGGGAGCGATAGTGTAGCGGTTAGCGCGCTGCGCTAACCCGGCGACACGGGTTCGATTCCCGCTCACGGCCAACACCAGTGACGATTATCTTAACCGGTCCCGGGCTTCCCCTAGGTCGACTCAGCCTCAAATGAGTACCTGGTGCAGTGTGTAAACATTGCCACTAGGGAGACAAAGGCGGTCGGGCGTGGTGCTGGCCACCCCACCCCCTCGTGTACCGTTACCGGCCTTCGTAAGGTGCTCACTAACAGCACTTGGTGCATCTCTGTGTGTGTTGGTGCTGGTGTGTGTTGGTGCTGGTGTGTGTTGGTGCTGGTGTGTGTTGCTGCTGGTGTGTATTGGTGCTGGTGTGTGTTGCTGCTGGGGTGTGTGTGTGTGCTGGTGTGTGCTGGTGTGTGTGCTGGTGTGTGCTGGTGTGTGTGTTGGTGTGTGTGTGTGTTGGTGTGTGTGTGTGTTGGTGTGTGTGTGTGTTGGTGTGTGTGTGTGTTGGTGTGTGTGTTGGTGTGTGTGTTGGTGTGTGTGTTGGTGTGTGTGTTGGTGTGTGTGTTGGTGTGTGTGTGTGTGTTGGTGTGTGTGTTGGTGTGTGTGTGTTGGTGTGTGTGTGTTGGTGTGTGTGTGTTGGTGTGTGTGTGTGTGTTGGTGTGTGTGTGTGTTGGTGTGTGTGTGTGTTGGTGTGTGTGTGTGTTGGTGTGTGTGTGTGTGTGTGTTGGTGTGTTTGTGTGTTGGTGTGTGTTGGAGTGTGTGTGTTGGTGTGTTGGCGTGTTGGTGTGTGTGTGTGTTGGCGTGTTGGTGTGTGTGTGTGTTGGTGTGTGTGTTGGTGTGTGCTGGTGTGTGCTGGTGTGTGTGTGTGCTGGTGTGTGTGTGTGCTGGTGTGTGCTGGTGTGTGCTGGTGTGTGTATGTGTGTGCTGGTGTGTGTGTGTTGGTGTGTGTGTGTTGGTGTGTGTGTTGGTGTGTGTGTGTGTTGCTGTGTGTGTGGCTGGTGTGTGTGTGTGCTGGTGTGTGCTGGTGTGTGCTGGTGTGTGCTGGTGTGTGTATGTGTGTGCTGGTGTGTGTGTGTGTTGGTGTGTGTGTGTTGGTGTGTGTGTTGCTGTGTGTGTGTTGGTGTGTGTGTTGGTGTGTGTGTTGGTGTGTGTGTGTTGCTGTGTGTGTGTTGCTGTGTGTGTGTTGCTGTGTGTGTGTTGGTGTGTGTGTTGCTGTGTGTTTGTTGGTGTGTGTGTTTGTTGGTGTGTGTATGTGTTGGTGTGTTGGTGTGGGTGTTGGTGTGTGTGTGTGGGTGTGTGTATGTGGGTGTTGGTGTGTGTGTTGGTGTGTGTGTTGGTGTGTGTGTGTTGGTGTGTGTGTGTGTTGGTGTGTGTGTTGGTGTGTGTGTGTGTTGGTGTGTGTGTTGGTGTGTGTGTGTGTTGGTGTGTGGGTGTTGGTGTGTGTGTGGGTGTTGGTGTGTGTGTGGGTGTTGGTGTGTGTGTGGGTGTTGGTGTGTGTGTGGGTGTTGGTGTGTGTGTGTGTTGGTGTGTGTGTGTGGGTGTGTGTGTGTGTTGGTGTGTGTGGGTGTGTGTGTGTGTGGGTGGGTGTGTGTGTGGGTGTTGGTGTGTGTGTGTGTTGGTGTGTTGGTGTGTGTGTGTTGGTGTGTGTGTTGGTGTGTGTGTGTGTTGGTGTGTGTGTGTGTTGGTGTGTGTGTGTTGGTGTGTGTGTGTGTGTGTACGTTGGTGTGTGTGTGTGTTGGTGTGTGTGTGTTGGTGTGTGTGTGTGTTGGTGTGTGTGTGTGCGCGCACTTGGGTCTGCCTCGTCACCTCCTGCCAGCGGGCGTTCGACACTTCACGTGGCCTCAAGGTGCACATGGCCTGGCACAAGCGTCGTGGTGACGTCACCGCCACTTAGTTGTTGTGTGTGCTGGTGTAGCGGTCAGCGCGCAGCGCTACGAACCTGGCGACCCGGGTTCGATTCCCGCTCACGGCCAACACCGGTGACGATTATCTGAACCGGTCCTGGGTCTCCCCTAGGTCGACTCAGCCTCAATTGAGTACCTGGTGCAGTGTGTAAACATCGTCACTGGCGGGAAGACAAAGGCGGCCGGGCGTGGTGCTAGCCACCCCACCCCCCTCGTGTACCGTGCCGGCACCTTAATAGGTGCTCGCTAACAGCAACAGTCTGTTAGTGTTCTACTGCTTCCTGCTACCCTGCCGACCACTGACGACGGGAATGAGAAACTCCTCCTCCTCCTGCTCCTCCTCCTGCTGCTCCTCCTGCTGCCGCTGCTGCTCCTCCTGCACACCTCACCACCAACACACCTCACCACCAACACCCCTCACCACCATCACACCTCACCACCAACACCCTTCACCACCATCCACACCTCACCACCAACACACCTCACCACCATCCACACCTCACCACCATCCACACCTCACCACCAACACATCTCACCACGAACACACCTCACCACCAACACACCTCACCACCAACACACCTCACCACCAACACACCTCACCACCATCCACACCTCACCACCAACACACCTCACCACCAACACTCCTCACCACCATCACACCTCACCACCAACACACCTCACCACCATCACACCTCACCACCAACACACCTCACCACCAACACACCTCACCACCATCCACACCTCACCACCATCCACACCTCACCACTATCCACACCTCACCACCAACACACCTCACCACCATCCTCACCACCAACACACCTCACCACCAACACACCTCACCACCAACACACCTCACCACCATCCACACCTCACCACCAACACACCTCACCACCAACACACCTCACCACCATCCACACCTCACCACCATCCACACCTCACCACCAACACACCTCACCACCATCCACACCTCACCACCATCCACACCTCGCCATCATCCACCCCTCACCACCAACACACCTCACCACCATCACACCTCACCACCAACACACCTCACCACCATCCACACCTCACCACCATCCACACCTCACCACCATCACACCTCACCACCAACACACCTCACCACCAACACACCTCACCACCAACACACCTCACCACCATCCACACCTCACCACCAACACACCTCACCACCATCCACACCTCACCACCATCCACACCTCACCACCATCCACCCCTCACCACCATCCACCCCTCACCACCAACACACCTCACCACCAACACACCTCACCACCATCCACACCTCACCACCATCCACCCCTCACCACCATCCACCCCTCACCACCAACACACCTCACCACCAACACACCTCACCACCATCCACACCTCACCATCATCCACACCTCACCACCAACACACTTCACCACCAACACACCTCACCACCAACACACCTCACCACCATCCACACCTCACCACCAACACACCTCACCACCATCACGCCTCACCACCAACACGCCTCACCACCAACACACCTCACCACCATCCACACCTCACCACCAACACACCTCACCACCATCCACCCCTCACCACCATCCACACCTCACCACCAACACACCTCACCACCATCACACCTCACCACCAACACACCTCACCACCAACACACCTCGCCACCAACACACCTCACCACCAACACACCTCACCACCAACACACCTCACCACCAACACACCTCACCACCAACACACTTCACCACCATCCACACCTCACCACCAACACACCTCGCCACCAACACACCTCACCACCAACACACCTCACCACCAACACACCTCACCACCAACACACCTCACCACCATCCACACCTCACCACCATCCACCCCTCGCCACCATCCACACCTCACCACCAACACACCTCACCACCATCCACACCTCACCACCAACACACCTCACCACCATCCACACCTCACCACCATCCACACCTCACCACCAACACACCTCACCACCAACACACCTCACCACCATCCACACCTCACGACCATCCACACCTCACCACCAACACACCTCACCACCATCCACACCTCACCACCATCCACACCTCACGACCATCCACACCTCACCACCAACACACCTCACCACCATCCACACCTCACCACCATCCACACCTCACCACCAACACACCTCACCACCAACACACCTCACCACCAACACACCTCACCACCAACACACCTCACCACCATCACACCTCACCACCAACACACCTCACCACCATCCACGCCTCACCACCAACACACCTCACCACCAACACACCTCACCACCATCCACACCTCACCACCAACACACCACACCACCATCCACACCTCACCACCATCCACACCTCACCACCAACACACCTCACCACCAACACACCTCACCACCATCCACACCTCACCACCATCCACACCTCACCACCATCCACACCTCACCATCATCCACACCTCACCACCAACACACCTCACCACCAACACACCACACCACCATCCACCTCTCACCACCATCCACA